ATCAACAACTACCCAAATCGAGGGTTCCGGTGGTTCGAGTGGTTTTCCGACCACTTCCCAGCTGAACTGGCCTTCGGCCTAGGTATAAAAGTTCTCCCCTTGTTGTGTTCTACAACCCTGTAAAATTTGGTAATTTTTAGAGTTTTTCGGAATTTTAGGTTTCCTTTTGCAGGAAATCGTCACGCGCGATGGTGCGTGGCCAATAAGCCGACGCTACCATTTTATGCGTATTTCGATATTCCAATTACGTATTTGGTATACATTTGAGGTACTTCGATTATTAACACGAATGTTAGATATTTCGGTTAATTGAGTATTATCGGAAATGGATTTAGAAATTGGAAATGTGAACTACGATTAGCTTGATCCCTTCATAGAGTACGTAGGCAGTCAAACAAGAAGGTTAGATGCAGCCATAAAATAACTGAGATTAATCTTTAACGAAAATTAGAAAGAAGAAAAGAGATTGGGTGTTTAGTTCAAAGATGGACCGGACCTTATGTTTTTGTTAAATAAGTTTAGCGATAAAATTTGTGAGGAATTAAGAATTTATTAAAGAGATTGTGATTAATGGTAGTAAGTAAACAAGATTTTAATTTGGCCTATCATCGGATTTAGCTTCCAAATAAGAATTTTCGGGACGTTACATTAAGTGTGTGGACAATACCAGTATGAATATCAATTTAAATTGAAGAAACATATTTCATATGAAGTGGTTCCCCTTAATCAAGTTGTATATGTTAACCATAAGTGATCAATTTGATAGTTCTTGAATATGATTCTTAGAGAGAGAAATAAAGGATTCGAAAATGGAGAGAGAAGAGGAAAATCTATTATCTTTGATATTTCTTAATGAATGTATTTTTAAGCAATGGAATCTAACAACCTTCACTACCCAACTCTACATATGAATGACAAGTATCACAATCTCTAACCATTGAATATACTCTAACATCCCCTCTCAGGATCCTGGTTGAGTAATCCAAGCATGAGATTGTTGCAGTGTGTTCGAAACAAGGGTGCACTGAGACCCTTGGTAAGTATATCTATAAACTGCTCTTGAGAAGACATAAGTTACACTTCAAGTTGCTTCTTGGAAATCCTTTCATGGATAAATGAACATCAGCTTCGGTATGCTTTGTTTTTTGGTGCTAAACAGGATTAAAAGATAGGGTAATCGAAGACAATTTATCACAAAATAACACATGATAAGAAATGACTGTGATCTGCATAAATGAAAGCAACTGTTGAATTCAACTAGTTTAGTTGAAGTAATGGCATTGCACGATATTCTGCCTTTGTGGAAGATCATGATACCATTTGTTGCTTCTTGGATGACTAGGAAATAGATTGGATCCCAAAAACACAACTAAACCTATTGTTGACCTACGATCAATTGGATCTCGGCCGAGTCAGCATCACTGAAAGCTTTTTATACCAAACCCCTTTTTGAATAAATAATACCATGATGCATTGTACCCTTCAAGTACCTAAGTTTGCGCTTGACAACAATATAGTGTGAAGCCATAAGATTTTGCATAAATTGCATATTTGGTGCATTGAAAAAGCAATATACGACCTTGAAAATGTGAGAATATTGAAGGGCACCTATAATGCTGCAAGATGCAGTGGGATTGTCATAGAGAGCCTCGTCATTCTTGAGAAGCTTATTGTATGGTAAATGAGGTGTATCATAACTTTTAGAATCAAACATCTCAATTTTGTGCAGCAAATCCTGCACAAACTTTGACTAGATAAGAACAACCCAGATTTGATTGAGGTGATCTGAATGCCAAGAAAATAGTGCAAGTCACCTAAGTTCTTTATATCAAACTCAGAGGTGAGAGAGTTAATAACATGATGAATGACATATGAAGAGCTCATTGTGATTATAATGTTATCCACATAGGGAACCAAAATCACAATATCACTACCAATCTTCTTCACAAATAAAGAAGAATCTAAATAAGTGGATTGAAAACCAATGTTATGTAGAAACGCGGTTCCATACTCTTGGGGCTTGTTTCAAGCCATATAAAGACTCATGAAGTTAGCAAACCAAATGTGGATTCTATGCATTCTGTGCATCTACAAAACTAAGAGGTTGAGACATGTACACTTCATATCCTACAACAAGCCATGCAAGAATGTATTTTTAACATCAAGTTGCCTCAATTATCATCCATGATGTGCACTAAAGCCAAAACCAACCTAACAGTAGTAGGTTTAACCACTGGACTGAATGTCTCTCCATAATCAAGCCCTGGTTCTTGATTGAAGCCTATTGCCACCAACAAAGCCTAGGCCTGACAATAATACCATCTGAGTTCTTCTTGATTTTAAAGATCCACTTACATCCAACTAAATTCTTCTGTGAAGGAAGAGAAACCAAAGACCATGTACCCTGAGAATGTAAAGCCCCAATTTCCTTTTGCATTGCTTTAAGTCAAACTAGAACCTTAAGTACACTCTTGTATGAAGTAGGTTCAACCAATGACAAATCCATAGTATCAGAATCAACTAGAACTGTCAATAAGGCCTTTTTCTTATTTATACTTGTCTGGCTTCTAGTCTGCATTAGATGCATGTTAAGTGGAGCAAAGGGAAGACCCACTTGAAGATTTTCAAGATCAAACAAAAGATCCACAGGGAGTAAGGAGGAGTCGTTTACAGTGCCAGTAATAGACTTTGAAGCAGCATGAGGTATAAGACTATGTGATGAATTACTAGAGGGTGAAGCAGCATGTATAGGTTGTAAACTAATGATAGATGGTGAACTTGATGAAGAATGTAAGAGTTGTTATGACACATATGGTAATGATGAAGACACTAGCAAATTGTCAAGAGTTGTGACTAATGGTGGTGGTAATACAACACTAGGAATAGAGTGAGCATAGAGTTATGTTGACTGTTTTATTAGACTAGAATAAGTGAACTCTAGTTCATTGAAAAAAACATGTCTAGAAATGTACACCTAGTGTTTAGAGACATCAAAATAAATATACTCTTTGTATTGAGACGCATAGCCAAGAAACACACATCTAGTTGCTTTAGCTTCCAGTTTAGAACTATTGTATGGTCTTAATAATAGAAAACATGGGCAACCAAATACCTTTAGATGTGATATAACAGGTAATTTTCCAAACAAGAGTTGAAATGGAGATTTGTGTTGTAAAAGTGAGGATGACATTCTATTTATAAGATACACAACTGTTTGACATGCAAAGGACCAAAATTGGGAAGGACGTTGAGCATATTCAGCAAGGTAACGGCAGTCTTAATGATGTGCCTATGTTTTCTCTCAATTAGGCCATTTTGTTCAGGGATATAGGGACATCACTTGTGATGTATAACTTCCTTGTCTTGCAAGAAAGTGTAATTTATGATTGACATATTCTCCACCTCCATTAGTTTGTAAACTTTTCACAAAAGTTGAGAATTGAGTTTGCACAAATGCACATAATGAAACAAATGAAGAAAAGAAGTCTGAATTATCAACAAGAGGGAATAACCAACAAAATCTAGTACACTCATCAATAAAAGTGACATAGTATTTAAAACCATCCATTGAATTACATGGTGTAGGATCTCAGAGGTCACTGTGGACAATTTCAAAAGGAACAATGGATTGATGAGACCTAGTTTGAAATGGTAGCTTAGTGAACTTTCCCTCTAAACAACTATTACACAGTGCAAGATTAACATCTTTAGCACAAGATATAGCAGCATTCCAAAGCATTAAAGAGAGAGAAGGGTTAGATGAATGATGCCAAACATCATGTTATTCTTGTTGAATGTTTATTTGTGGTCAAGCAAGTGAATGGATAGGATAGAGACCATTATTGCATAGTCCTTTGTACAAGATCCTCCCTGTGGCTTTGTCCTGGATCCAAAAACAATTGGCATACAAAATAAGCTAATAGTTATTGTCAAGACAAATCTTGTGAACTGACAGCAAGTTATAAAGTAATTGTGGGACATATAAAATTGAATTCAGTCTAATTGGATGAACTGAAGGTTTGATAATGTTGCTACCAGTGTGAGACACTTTCAAACCTTCACGATTGGCAGTTTGAACAGTTTCATTTGCAGGATATGGAGATGCCAAGGACATATTTTGAAGATTAGATGGTCCTCGTATGAGTGGAAGTATGCATTTCAATCATTTTACATTAATGGTGGTGCCCTAAGCAAGCACAAAATCGCTTGCTAACTTACTTTGAGGGTGGCTTCAAATCATAAGTTCATGAACCATGCTTCAAGACTTACAAAGTCAAAAGATACTATGCAAAGGGACTTTAAAGTACAGTGAGCAAAATACATTCACTGTGCAGAGGGACTTCAAAGTACAGCGAGCCAAGAACAAATATCAGATTCTTGCTCACAAAGATACAAACATACAAAAGCTTTTACAAAAAAGTGAAACAACACAAAACCAAAGAAAGGTTGCCTTCTTTCTCCAAATGGTGCAGCAACCTTTAGTAATAAATAGGAGTGTCAGCTACTATTCTCACACCCACATTCCATTTGCACAAAGAGCAGCTTTAAATATGAGCACCATAAAAGACCTAGCATATGCTCCACATAGGCCAACTAAGGAGGCACATCAGTTTGGGATTATGTCGATATAAAAAGGGTCAAGACACAATAGAATGGAGCCATCAAATCCAACATATTCAAGGTTCTTTAGCCTTTTTTGTTTTTTTTTTTTTAATTCTCATTAAAAATTAATAGAACAAGAAAACTAAAAGAATCAAGGAACCGCACTTGATTATTCTAGATTCCAACAGAATAATGCTATAGTCAAATTCAGTAGTTATTCAACTCTAGTTACGATCTTGATTTTCATGGTTGCAAAAGAAATATACCTTCTTCCTCTTGTTGGACGATTGAAGCTATTTGCTTTCGTAACTTTTCATAGAATATTAATTGAAATATTACAGAAACGAGTTAGCATCAATGGCTGCTCAACAAATTAAATGGCCTCACATACACCAAACTTGACTGGAATATTCTTGCTATAAATATCTTAACAATTCAATCCAAAAGTTACTTCATATAAAGTAATGCTGCGTTTATAAGACTTTAAAAAAGAAAGTAGCATGAATAGAATGGATGAAACACTGCAATTGTTTGTAAATAACAAACTGCAAGTTCTTAAGCAGTTTCAACATAAAAACGCCTATATATATGCTATTAGAGTCCAATGATCAGATAATGATTATTTTTATATTGGGCTTTCAATTTATTCCTAGGCATTATCATTCAGGAATTTCGGGAGCCACTTTGCCGACTCTTTGGGAATTCGAGTAAGGTTGTTGTTACGGTCCACGTAGTAAAGACCGAATTTTGGAACAAACCCTTGCCGAAACTCAAAATTATCGAGTAGGGACCAATGAAAGTATCCCTTCACATTCACACCATTCCTGCAAAAACATCAGTGACAAGTAAATAGATACTCTTTCCTCAAACTAGTAAACATGCACTCAACTCATGAAGTTGATCTAGATTAGTAATTTTTTGTCATGTAATAGATTACGTACTTCATTGCCATCTTGATTCGGTACAGATGCTGAAGAATATATTGGATTCTATGTGGATCCTTCAATGATTTATCAAGCTTGGCTTCGGTAATTCCATTCTCCGTAATATAAACTGTTGGGCTCTGGTAGTTTTGGTTCATGAACTCCAAAAGTTTCTGTAATCCTTGTGGATAAGAGTATATAAAGTCGATTCCTTGAGCCTGCAAGGGATGCAAATTTAGTTTTCCAGATATATTTGCTACAGTCCCGTAAAATAGTAAACTAGAGAAATATATTTTGACAGTCTCACTTTTCTTACTTTAGGGCCAATAAGGACTCGATCTTTATCTGCAACAATAAAAACATGGGCAACAATATCAGTACCACTTTCAACCTATCGATCATTTATACATGTACACACAAACACATGGACACACGCACAGAGACGCACAAAAGCACATACAGACCAGCCTTAGCAATAAGGTCATGTATAAGCTTACTTTCAGTCACAGCTCTAGCAAAAGTATCACTGCGGTAGGCGATTGGTGCACCAGGTTTTCTTGGTAGGTAGCGACCAAATCTTGAAGTATAGTAATTGACCCCAATGAAATCGAAGGATCCCTTCATAAGTTTTTTCTCTTCCACTGTGAAAGTCGGTATCCTTTGCTTGGCTAAGAGTCTCATAATTTTCGGGTAGGCTCCGTATACTAACGGTTCCATATACCTGATAAGGAGGAGTACAAATTCGTTTTATGGAAAATACGTTTTGTTGATTTCAAAAGAAAACAATAGGCAAGAATCACTGTACAAGCGGTACTTGTTCCAGCAATATATACTACTTCTTACTAACCACCCAATTTCAAAGTCCATTAGTCTCTTTGCCGCTGCCTTGTCTTCTATTGAATTAGAAAATGGCTCAACATACTGCCCGACCAGACTGATTCCGATTTGACCACCTTGATCTCCCTTCAAATAAGCAAAATAATAAATAAACATTAGTCAAGAGAAGAGTCTCATGGATTTGATGTTAATTCCAGAAGTCGACGGTAAATGAATCAGAGTGTGACTCACGAGAAACTTATCTCTGTAGAGGTTGACAACGGTAGCATGGGCAAGGAGAAGGTTATGGCTCACAGTGTATGGCTCAGTGCCGGAATTTCCGCCTGTACATGGAGGAGCATGTTCTTTCACAGGAACCGAGCACCTGGCTGGTGGACCAACTCCAAAGTCATAACCCAGCTTGGCCATAATCAGTGGCTCGTTGATTGTGATCCAATTTTTTACCCTATCGCCATACGTTTTAAAGCATAGCTCGCAGTAGTCCTTGAAATCAGCCCTGAAAATATGTGATATGGTAAACATGAGTGTCACAACTTTGAGAGATGAAAAGTATTTAGCATCAAAAGGTGCTTACACAAAAGAGCGGCTCAGGACTCCTCCGTACTTGTCCGTCAAGGCTTGTGGTGGGTCAAAGTGCAAGAGGGTCACAAAGGGTTGGATGCCTGTATTAAAATATAGAATTGACTTAATCGAACGATCAACATATAGGAGAATGACAATTGCTAATGGCATGTGGTCAGTTATTGATCATTGCTTTGTTATAACTACAATTTACAGAGCGTTAGAAAACTTGACGAACATCTTTCATCATGTGTATATTCTCCACAAAGCATATATATTATATCAAATATTGTTTCTTCAAGCTTAGGCTTCCTAAAACTTATTGAAAACTGAAGGCATATCACTGGTAATTAACACAAACTATGAAGATATACTGTCACTGTTCTTTGTAAAATTAAGTGTCTAACCATTCTTCAGTAATTCATCGATCACGTTGTTGTAGTGATCAAGGCCCTCTTGATTTATTCCACCATTCAAGCTTCCGTCTACATGTCCAGAATTGCAAACAAAATGCATTAGAGCTCAAGTAGCGCACATCAACATGTACATAGTCGTGTTTGCTATTAAAACTTAAAGCCATTATTTTCGTTAAAGTTCTTACTAGGAAGAATCCTGGTCCAGGCAATAGAAAATCTGTTGGCATCGACTCCAAGGTTCTTCATAGCCACCACATCTTCCTACAGTTACAATTGCTGGTTGTAAGCTATATGCCAAATAGAGAAGAAAAAAACACTTTTAACTTTTCTTTGGAGCTAGTAGCGAAGGGAACTTGATGATTAATATGTCTTCACTCACCTTGTATTGCCTATACGAATCGGTGGCAATAGACAGATTGGAGTGGTCTTGAATCCTCTCTGAAATGAAGGAAAATTAGAAAATAAATAGGTGGTAAACTATGACACATAGAAATAAGGGTATGTCAAAGAAACTAGAACAAACTAATAGTAAGTATATGTGACGCACCTGGAAACTTCTTAATGTAGTTATCCCACACACTTGGTCCTTTACGTGCGACATCTGTTGCTCCTTCGTACTACACCCAACTCATCATGGAGCATACATATTATTACATTATCAAATTTTGCAAAGAGAAATTAAAATACATATACATGGAAAAAGTGTGCAGCTAGTTAACTACAGTTTCACAAAAAAAAAACCTGCGGAGCATCAGTCGTGACTCCAAAAACAAAATCAGCTGGAAAGTCGGACCGGGTTACATCAACGGTGGATGAGTCAGCTGAGAAAGAGGCAATGACACATAAAATCACTAAAGTGGTAAACACGTTTGTTCGGGATCCCATAGATTGAACGGAGGAGACTAAGCAACTGAAGAAACTGATATGCAGAAGAAATGAAGAGAATAAACAGAAAGAGATGAAGAATAATAGCTTCTGATTACTTGAGAAAGTCCGTGAATATTACAAGCTGTATATAGTTGAAAAACAAAGCTTTGGCTCTAGCAACCTAACCGACTACACAAGACAGTGTGCATGTGATTTGTTTTAGGTTTTAACTTTAGGATTTGCTTTTTAACCCACAATATTGCTGCAATTAAGATTATGATTTAATGGAGTTCCCAGAATTGTAGCCCTAGCTACTTCATTGAGGCCAAGGGAATTTTACACCAATGGTTTGACAAGGACCAGCTCTCCCAGTAATTACAAAACGCCAAGAACAACTGCATAAAAGTCAACAAAGATAATTAAAGAGGGCGGTTCGGTTGTAGTTAATTACCCTAAACACTAGGAATTGCCAATCGTGGTGCGCTCGCATCCACCGCTCTTCCATCGTCTGGTGTTTTCTTTCATTCCCGCTATTTTATTTTGTTGTTCAATATTACATCAAGACATCGTAATTCAAATATCCAATCTACCACCGGTTATTTTATTTTCTTGTCCAATATACACCGCATATATTTTAATTATACATAAGCATTAAATTTGTGATGTGAATCTACATATACTGTATATCTTATCTTATTTTGTTGTTCAATATATATATATATTAACTATATGAGCATTAGAGCTATGATGAGAATCTGCATATAACCTGATTCACATCAAATTCATCTCGGAGCAAGTATTGATGCTGATAAAGTATTTCCATCTAGAAATAGGGTATTGTTCGTGACCAGGCATTTAATTAATCTGGAAGTAGGTTTTGTAAGTCTTCTCTTAAAACATGAATCCAGCCACTATAAGCTGGTCCTTCAATAAGCAAGTACACAATATGTCTTGTATTTTGGGTTTAAATTACTGCGCATCCCGTTCAAACCTTTTCTCGTTCCCTTGAAATAATTTAGAGTAATAATGGATTAATAGAAGGTACCCTAAACGTCTTGAAACGCAAGATAGGCTTACAAATAAAACACAAGAAATATTCTTACAGTGTAAATACTTAAGTTTACATAGAATCACCCATATAAATTATAATAGACAATACATTTTTATATAATTTTTAGTATCATTCTTTCCTTATTTATTTTTAAGTTTCTTTAAGCAATTTATTTTTACTTGACAAAATCAGTAAATATTACAAGCTATATATAGTTGAGTAACAAAGCTTAAGCTCTAGCAACCTACGGAAGACAATGTGCATGTGATTTGTTTTAGGTTTTAACCAATGGATTTGTTTTTTAACCCAAAATATTGCTGCAATTAAGATTATGATTTAATGGAGTTCCCAGAATTGTAGCCCTAGCTACTTCATTTAGGCTAAGGTAATTTTACACCAATGGTTTGACAAGGACCAGCTATCCCAGATAATTACAAAACGCCAAGAACAAGTGAATAAATTCAACAAAGATAATTGATTCTCAGCGTGGTTCAGTTGTAGTTTATTACCCTAAACACTACGAATTGCCAATCATGGTGCTTTCGCATCCATTGCTCTTCCATCGTCTGGTGTTCTCTTTCTTTCCCGGTGTTTTATTTTGTTGTTCAATTTTACACTGCCAAGACATCGTATCTCAAAAATCCAATCTACCACTCTTCATTTTATTTTGTTGTTCAATATACACCGTATATTTGTACTCTTGGATGAGCATTAGACTTATGAGCAGTAGGGCGTATATCAAACATGCACCCCGTCTATGGTATTCAGATCAAATCTAAACATGCATAATTCATTAAGCTTTGTGAAACCTTTTGAAAAACCATACAACCCTTAAGACGTGGTACTCATCCTAAGTGAACTTGCACATATTAACCACAAGAAGCCTTCGTCAATTTCAGGGACCGACCTCTGACCAAAATTGCATCAAATTACTTTTCTTGCTACGGCAATTAGATAGTATAAACCGGTGATTAATAATTCAAAGCCTACATGCATAATATCATAAGCAAATTGAAAAGAAATTACATATTCTTGCTAAGGCCCGTGGCCTCGTCCTAGCAAACGAAACTAGTTATGAACAATTATAAAACAATTATAAAACACCTTCAAAATAAACTTGAATCCAAAGGCTCTCTAAAGTAGTGCGTCCTAAATTTTATGCGTTCTCTCTTCCTCTCTCTCCTCTTTTCAACCCTAATGGCTAAAAAACCTTATTTATACCACTAGAAAATAAAATCCTACCTAGAAAAGGTCTTAGAATAATACTAGGAAACCAAATAAATTAAAATAAATTAAGAAACATAATCCTAAATTGACTAGTAAAATTTGCCCAAACTCTACACAACCTCAAAACAGCCACATTTCTAGATGTTCAAGGCTCCAATATAGGGCCTAAACAACTTGAATTAAAGCTTAAGATGTCCTGAACATAATTGTAAAAGGCCTCAAACCCAAAAGACATCTTCTTGAACGCCAAAAAGCCCACATAAGCCCAAAATGTGTCTTTGACAGCACTGCGCGCTTCTCCTTTATTTCATCGTGATAAATAAACCACTTGGTAGAAAATTATGAAACTTTGATACGAACAAGTCAACAGACTCCTGAACATCCAATTAGAATCACTCTAAAATTCATCCTTTGGTCATGTTTTGCTCCAGAGGACGTCGAATGTCCTACATTAAGAATATAAATCAAAATATCAAAATTTTCACAAAAATAACCACTAAATTATAACTAAGAATAGAGTAAAATATATAGTATAAAATCAACTCCTCACAATGCTCCATAGAACAATAAAGTAATGTATCCATATGAGCTCCCACGCCTTAGCGGTATTTTTTAATTATACATGAGCATTAAACCTCTGATGTGAATCTATGTAGATGTTTGTATGATCTTAATTCAGATCAAATTCATCTAGAAGCAATTATTGTTCTTGATGAAGCAATTTCATTTAGAAGTAGGCAGAGGAAGAGAAATTAAGCACAACCTTTTTCTGGGTTCAAAGTATTGCATACCGGGTTTAAACTTTTTCTAATTCCTTTAAAATAATTTAGAGTAATAATGAATTTAAAGGAAATTTAAACGTCTTGCAACGCAAGATAGGCTTACAATAATACTTGAGGTTTATTCTTACAGTTTAGGTTTACATAGAATCACCCATATAAATTATAAGAGATAATATATTTTTATATAATTCAGTATCATTCTTTCAAGTATTTTTACTTTTGACAATCTATTTATATATAATTTTTAGTTTCATTCTTTCACTCTTTTTTTTTTTTATTTTTTTACTTTTTTTTAACAAACGATCTAAACTACATAGTAATAGAACTCAATTTGTCAACCAAAAATCAACGAAATTACAATTATGACCTTTAATACAAAACTCAAAAAAAATGTGAGAAAAGAAAAAAATGGGGCATAAAAGTAATTTCGAACAAACAACTTACTCACGTGCAAACCGTTGCGCAAAGGTCATGAAAGCAGGGTTTGCGTGACGAAGGCGTAACCTACATCGCACAAAAGGTCTTTGCGCAACCAAAATACATGCATCACACAAAAGGTCTTTGATTGACAACAATACCTGCGTCACGCAAAAGTTTTCGTGCGATGCATCTTGTTCTTGTTGTTGCGCAAAGATAGGTGCGACGCAGGTAATATAGTCACGCAAAGACCTTTTGTGCGACACAGGTATTGTCGTCATCGCGCAAACCTTTTTTTCTTCCTTTTTTTTGACAAAATTTTTTTATTGACATTCTCCCAACTTCTTTGTGGACATAGATTTGCTTGATATTCTTGCCTATAAGGAGCACCAAATGTAAGGACACTTTGCATTGTGGACCCTTTAGCATACTGTGATAACTGACACGTAAGATTCGCTATTTGAGCTTGAAGATTAGCAATTGCCATGTCTTGCTTCTCTAGTACCTGAAATCAAAGAAATAAAACTAAATCAAATATCAAAAGAAAAATAAACAAACAAACAGAGGGATTAGCAATTTTACTAATCCCCGGCAATGACGCCAAAAATTTGATGTGTTATATAATAGCACACAAATTAAACCCTCTTTTTGACAATTGTAGTATAGATATAAGTAGGGATCGTTCTAGGCCGGGGATTAGGAGGGATTGCTAATCTAATGAAAACTGACTCAAAGATACAAAAATATGCTTCAAAACACTTAAACAAACTTAAAAGACTCTTAACTAAACTTATATGACTCAAAACAAACTTAAAAGACTCAAAACAACACAAAACAATCAAAAAGACTCAAACTAGACTCCAGGACTCAATTTGGACGAAAATAGAATTGGTTTTGACTCAAAACACTCAAAAACACTAATTAGGACAGATTTGACACAACTAAATAAAGGGGATTGGGTTTTTGACGAATTTAAGATAAAAACAAATAACTAAAAGACTTAAATAGGATTTAGACAAATTTGGGAAAAACGATGGATGCTTAGATAGCTAGAGGATTCTTTTCCACACATGACACATTTGAACACAAATTGATTTCCAGTTGCTTTTTCGATAAACCATGAACCTCAACACCCCAGATTAACCGTGACATCACTAATTAACCCTCAGATTTTCCTTTAGTTATTGGATTGGATGACATCATACGACAACCCAAAGCATTCTTCAAAAGTTCCCTACATGACATCATAATAGAGATACAATCAAAGATCATTACGTTCAATGAAAATCATAAGCATTGACAAAGCACTTGTAACTATGACATCATGATACTCATGCTAGGAATTTACTTAACATGATTGTGAAAACAACCTTAACTACTTGTGAATATAAGTTTGTAACGATTATGTGAGACTCCCTTATATTCTAGCACCAAATTCAAGCATGCAAATTAAGTGTGCACCCTTAATCAACAAACAAGAATAAGTTATCCATCAAACGGTTAAGTAAATTGCATTCACAATTTATGAAATCACAACTGAAAGTAATCAATTCATATTGCAAATATAATCATGGTTTCAAAGTCTCCTCTAGCTAAAACAAGTTTAGCTCCTCATGTTCGCAAAACAAAGATAATTAAACCTAAACATTAAAAACAAAGATAGAATACACCTAGAAACACTCCAGGTGGCTCCTCCTTCCTTCCTTGCTGCCAACAATGGGGATT